TTTGTGGAGTTGAATTTTTATAATTTTTGAAAATTAAAATTAAAATTATATTATAAATTCTCCATTTACATTTATAATAAAAAAGTAGATATATTAAAATATAATTTTAAATCTACAATTGACTATAGATGTCTGACGTTTTATTTTTGTTTAAAAAAAGTTAGATCACCGTAGAACTATTGTGATTTATCTTAAATTTAAACTCACTAAATAACTTAAATCTATTAATTTAATGAGTATCTCAATTATATCATTGAATTATATTAATACTTAAAAATGATCAAGATGCATTTGCTTATAAAATTTTAAAATAACTCTCACGATTGAAAGACTCTTCACATTTGTTGTCCCCCTTACAAATTTAAGATTTGGTGTTTTTTTAGTATTTTATAACAATTTAATTAAATTGAATAGTTGTTATAGCGCCACATATGACATTTATTAAGTGATAAGATTTGTATCATCCATTAAATTCAAATATGATGTATCTCATAGAATCATTGTAGTTCTATTGTAACCATTGACAAATTTTATTATATATGTTTCTCATTTTTAAATATAAGCAAAATTTTTACATGGTTTGTTGTTGATTTTTTACAAGCAAAACAATAATTTAAAAAAATATTTATGACATCTTTCATTAATTACTCTTCATTAAATTATAGTATCATTAAATTGGAAAAAAATAAAATTTTAATCACAAGTACATTTTAATTCAAACTTTTAAATTTTAGACATAATTATTAGGATTAATTACTTTTTAAATTGTGTGAATTTATTAAAATTTGCACATATATAAAAACAAACAGGAATAAGTTGATTGATTTAAATAATAAAATATTTTATGTTATAATTTATTATTTAAAGTTGTATGTTATATACAATTAATTATCTTACACATATACAAAATAACAAAATACAAACAACAAATGATAAATATCTTACATTTATAAAAAATATTAAATCTCATTCATATTATTTTAATTATAAGTCTCGTATGTATAAACATCTTTACCGTGAGTCTCACATCTATTTTTTAATTGTTGTTGTGTGTTCCACATGAATTATTGATATACAAAGGATAAATCTATTTACTTATATTGTAAAATCCATCAGGATTACTGCAGAACTATAGTTGAAGGAACAGTGATTTTCCTTTTTTACCCTTGCTGATATTAAAGAGATATAATTAGAGCTCAAACCAAAAATGAAATCAAATTAACATCAATATCATAATCAAATACTCCGTCAATAAAAATAAACTCAGCAAAAATCAACATCTAAATCTCTTTTTTTTCATCAAATAAAAATGAGTTGAGGAATAATGAAGAAACGGAACAACAAAACCAGCAGCAACAAAAATCAGAACTGAACCAAGCGACAAAAACATAAACAACGATTTTAGAAATAAAATCTAACACCTGGCATTCAAAATATTATCTCTACGAAAATGAACTATAATTACAAAAATATTCTTGAAAATATACAAAGCAACAATGGAAGATGATGATGAAGGGAAAATAATGAAGAAAAAAGAAGACAGAAAATCCAATCAATTTTATTAGTTGCTCCATCCTTGGCAAAATGCCATAGGCAGGAGACTAACAGATTTGAAGCGGCTGCGGAGTTTCACAGGTGCGAAGTTCCATGGGCAGATCTGAGGCCAAAGCGACAAAATTTCATTCTCAAGGAGACAACGTCGATCAAGGTAAAAGAGAAAGAGTAGAGGCAGAGATGGAGGGAAACAAGCTTTTACAAAGATGTTTGGAGCTTCAAAGGAAGAAATCGAGGGTGGGACTTTTTTTTTGGAAATAGTGAGGTAGGAAGAAAGCAATTTTTTGAAACTGCAGTGGACTGGAAGATGAAGACAAAAGAAGATGACAAAGCTTAACCAAGTGAACGACAAAAACGAAGAACAGGGGATTCATCATACTCTTATACATAAGATCGAAAGGATTCTCCTCACTGTAATCTTGATTTATAATCTCCTCGGCTATCTTCATGGCCATCCTTCATCTCAGGGAGGTGGAAACAGTAACCGAAGCAAAGAAAGAAAAAACAAAGATGCAAGCGAAAGCAAGAGACAGGACCAGAGGAGAGAAAATGATGAAAACCCAGGAGTCGGGAGCAGGGAGTGAGCACAGTGAAGATGAATCGTCTCTCGACTCTCATGCATTTTGTTGAAGAAAGTCAGACATTCATACATTATTAGTAATAAATGCTTGAAATCTCAATTTTTAATAACAGCTTTTGAAGAGTGGGGTTGAATTAATTGTGGGATTTGATTTCATCTATCCCACAGTTATAGATAAAAAAATATTTATATCATGATGTGATTATTGAAAAAATTATAAAAATATCTCCTTAAAATATAAAAATGATAAGTCTGCAAAATATGAAAGTGATAAGTTTGTAATTATGATAATTCTATTCAAGTATCTTAAGATCTTTCTTACGTTAATGGCTTTTGTGAAATGACAACAATAATCTCAATTTAGAATATTAATAATTATTTCAATTTAAGTAATGATTATTTTTTTAATAATGACAAAGATAAGATAATAAATGACAAACTTTGCTATGCAAATTTTTTAAACCTTGGAATCCAAGGTTGTAACTATTAATGACGATTTGAGTAATGACTATTTTTTATAGTAATTAAAATAGTTACCATTTTGATTTAAGTGGTGACTAATTTTCTTTTAATAATGATTAAATGGAGTAGAAAATGATAAGTTTCGCTTTGCAAATTTTTAATCACCCATCCATTATTTTTTTCCCTCTTGAATCGTGGGCATTATAGGCATTCACAGAAGGCATTAATATTAGAAAAATCCCAAAAAAACTTGAGAGAAATTATCACATTTTGCAAGACTTTATTTTTATTTGTATATTTGAGGGAGATTTTTCTATATTTTCTATTAAATTAACTATTAAATATTTTTAATTATATTTATATAATATGTTTGTTAGTATATGTATACACGGTTTTATTTTGTACTTGTGTTCATCTTTTTTAGTTTATTTGACAATATTTTTAATTCATATGTTAGTATATATATAATTATATATGTGTAATATTTTTTTATTTAATTATTATCTTATCAGTTCAATTGCTGATTTAATTAGTTGAACCATAAAAACCTTAACCCACAGGTATTTTTGCTTTGATATCATATCCAGGTTTTAAGATAATGGGAAGAAATGAAAGCAAGGTGAGGTAAGGTTTGAGAGAACAATGCCGATGGGATAGAGGGATCAAGAAAGTGGGAGAGAGGAGTTCTAAGGAACAAAGACGAGATTGAGAGAGATGGGAGCCATGAGAAAGCGGAAGGGTAGTTGAAGTTGTGATTGTTATTCTTTAATGTTCATTGTCTGATTGAAACGATCAATGGCTCAAAATCATGAACCGTGTACTTATTTATTTATATGAAACATGTGCGCTTGTTTAATTTTAAATCATCATCAAATCCTTATAATGTATCATTATTTCATCAACAAATCATTATATTCTTTTTTAACCAAACCCATGGAATAATGTGATTTTCGTTTTTTAAAAAAATTGATTCATATTTTTTAACTTTAGCTTTTTTTTAAAAAAAAAATTAATATTATGTTAAAGATAAAAACTTATGTACTTGACATTTTATATTTGATATAATTTTATTTAGTCCAATCAAAACAAATAAATTTTAATATGTTAACAATAATAATAACAAGATTTTGTCATGGAGTAAATAATCTGTACAAAATCAACATGTCTGTCTTGATTTAATTGAAAATAACCTCTTAAGTATTATAAGATTAATTATATATTTTTTAATATTACTCAGTTATTAATTTTAATAAATTATAATTGCAAATGATATCTAAAATAATCAATTTTAAAATAAAATATACATTTTAAATTTTCAACATGTACAAGGTAATAAATCATCATATAATTTTGGGTACATTATTATGTAAACTATACATCAAATTCCATAGGCAACAAAACTGTAAAATAAAATAAATCATTTATATTTTTAATATGCAATATAATAATTTAAAAGCAAATAAATTGTTTTGAATACTTTTAACAAATTATTTTGATTACTTCGTTTCATTAATTTATGTCGCTACTATCAATATTTCAATGTTAGTGTAAGTAAATTTTAATATTTTTAGCTTTTTTCTAAACATTAGGGACAAAAAACAACAACTGAGATAAATTAAAATGATCAAATTGATACAAATTAAAATTAAGAGACCAAATCTATAATTAAAATAAATTTAAAAAATTAAAATTTTTATTATTTATAAAATATATTATTTTTAATTTTTCTCGTGCACACACAGGGCTAAAATTTATCTAGATAAAAAAAATAAGAAAAAATCAGGGCACTTCATTCAATTATAGATGAATAGTACTGTGATGCACTTTACTCTATATATATATATATATATATCTAGATAAATTTTTAAATTTTGATCAAAATTTAAAAAAAATTAGCAAAATCAAAGATTATTTCGCCCATTCATCTCAATTAAAATACACCAGAAAAGACACCTTTGATGACTTATTTTCAAGTGTCAAACAAGGCCGGGATATATCTCTGACTAAACCTTGTGATCGCGTACAGGCTACAGCGGAACTTCGACTTATTTTCAAGTGTCAAGCCGTCCAACAGGGCTGAAATATTTCTCTGGCCAATCGAACATCTGCAGACTGCAGAGTTAGGTTTCTTCGGAACAAATAGCAACTGATTCAACCGGAAAGCCGATTTTCCTTGTGAACCGTGGGTAACAAACAGACTTTCAACAAGCCACCAAGCATTAAACATAGCAGACAGCAATTGATAACAATGACCAACGATTTCTGAACGAAATGAAGCACAAAAACTTGATCTTCCCAGAAAGGAACGCCAAAAACTTGATCAAGAATTCAAACAACAATCCTAATTATGTAAGACAAATTAATTAACTACAACGTTGGCAGCGCATAAATTGTTCAGTTTGAGTACAATCCTACCAACAAGAAAAAACTAAAAATCATATATTGTTCACAATCTCTGTCAAGACTCGAGCGCTGATGTCCTTGTCTGTAACCACTTGGTTATGAAAATCGCTTTCAAGTTGTCTTAACAACAGGTGACGATAAAGGAAAAAGAAAAAACAATAATAAAAAAAAACAACAGGTGACGAGTAAACTTACAAGCTGGACCTATTAATTATACACAAAAATACAGGTAACGGGATTAGACAAGCACAAAGTGACAAAGCGGGTCATTCAGTCTAATAGAGCACGCATGGCAAAGCAATAGTTGATCAAAGAGCAGCAGTGATTTATGAAAACATGATAAAAGCTCGAGCCCCGAATCTGCTACATGGATTGGAAACATTTGTTGTCGATTGAAAGAAAGAAGAATATGATGGGATCATCAATGAAGAGGGCACAGAACGTCACCTTCCATTTCACCATTCTGGTCATGGTAAGTTAAGATTTTTGACTTCACATACGTCCTAGAATATTGCCTCAAATGCAACTCTCCAGCAGTTACCAAGGCATTGCAGAGAAGTCAAATTCAGGAAGGGGAACCACTTAGCACAGAATTATATAGAGAACTATACAAGGAGGAGAAAAGAATGTAACATAGAAACCAATTTCCCCTGACAATGCAGAGTAGCGGATATCCTCATGATCAGCAAAGGCGATCAGGTCAACTAGGTTTGAGGATAACATCCATTACCATGGGCTTTTCGTGGCTTCTATACATTTCAAAGCAGTATTCAGGCTGCTTTTAACTTCAAGCCCTTCCACACCCTAGAGTCAGCTCCAAATCATCCATTCCCACCTCTTGTACTATTATCTCGCCTTCCCACGGTTTCACTCTACCATTCTCAAACTCAAAGTTCGATCCTCGCCCCTTCTCTGCAGCTGGACCTGGACTCCAAACATCTGAGGAATTCTGATGAGAAATTTGCTGAACCACCGGCTTCATAAGATTAAAGGTGGGCGAAGGAGGAGCAACGGAAGCCGCCGTTGCTGCCTGAAAACTGACCCATCGACCAGAGTTCACTGTAGAAGCATCGGAGTCATCACATTCTGGAATAGTCGAAGCTGCAACGTTGTGGCGGCGCGTAGGACTAGATGGGGCGGAGGCAGCAAAAAGTGGGTCGCGGAAGGATTTAAGAGATCCGTTGGAAAAAGACTCGAAATCTGATTTTCGCTTTGAACTTCTGGTGGTTGGAGAAGAAAGAGGCGGAGTTACGGGAGCGCTATTGGATATCCTGAGAGGGGGAAGGTTTGCAGGAATAGATGCTATATTTCGAATGAATGGGAGGAGAAATGAAGAGGGATTTCCATCAATGCGACTGGGACTGGGGAAGGAGGATGAAGTCGGGCTAGCATGGTAGGAAGGCATAGGACTTGGGAAGTATGACGATTGTGGGCTTGGCTGCATGGAAGAACAAGCACTGATATTAGCTGAAGTTCCTCCATTCTCATTTGGGGGTGGCCTGCATCCCTGTGTGAAATGCATATCTCAATTAGATGTTGGAGATCATGCTTCATAAACACAGTCATAATTTAAATCGGAGCTATAAAAATGGAAACTGAAGGGTAATATCAAATGCTAACAATCCTAAGAGCGGAAGTCGATTGCATGGCGGGAAATTAGCATGGTTAAGAAAATTGATGACAACTCGTCAGATTAATTTTACTAGAAATGCTAAATAAATAAACAAGGTCATATTTGCAGCAGGATCAAACCCCACAAAACGACTTCCATGATCGATGGTGAAAACAAGAGCTCCGTAACAGCAATCAATTTAGTCACCTAATACGGTCTCGCTTTCGATTTACTCCAGATGAAACGAAACATTCAACATTATTAACCCCCCCCCAACAGTTCAGCAAAACTGCTCCCGGAGTGAAAGGTCAAAAGGGAGGAAAAAAAGACGAAATCCCAAACTGCTTGTAGATCCGGGGGATACCGGCGAAAGCAATTCAGGGAATAATTTTAAAAGCGAATCGGCCGACATCACAACGGTGCCGAGCAACAAGGGAGAGAGAAGGAAGCGAACCTTTCTATAGGTAGTTCCGTCCTCCTCAACAATCCAACCAGCTTGAGCACAGAGAGCCTTTAAGACCTCGTTGTTGTCACAGTGCTTGGCAAGCTTATAGTTCCCCTGAGCTCTAAGGCCGGCATAGATCTTGGCAGCAATAGCTCTTCTTCGTCTTTCCCTCTTCTTATTGTTTTCTCTCTCTTTCAAAGTGGGCATCCTCCCCGAAGATCCTCCGCCGATCATCGCTCCAGCGAGTCTTACCTTGCCGGGCGAGGACGCCTCTCAGTCTAAGATTGTAGGAGAAAGTCTCTCTCTCTCTCGATCAGAGACACGGTGGCAACGCTTTTATCTGTTCAAGTCTCAGCACAAAAACTAAAAAGGATGCGGGTTCCTTTTTAGATTCTTTGTTGGCTGCTTTCTTTATTTTCTCCCCTTCCTCGCAATGACATGAGGCATTCAAGGGAAAATTTCAACTAGGAACCTCTAAAAACTTAATAACAATTATAAACTTTAAATTATTAAAATTTCAATAATCTTTATTTACATAAATTATTTTTATTAATTGATTTAAAATTTATAATAAAATTTTATAAATTTTTAATTGATGTTATAAATTTTTTTAAGTATCTTTTATTAATTTTTTAAGTCATAAAAAAATTATAAGTGACTAATTTATAATTCACATATGACTATTCTAAATTTTTAATTAACATTATAAGTAATTTTAAATATATTTTATAGTTTTTTTAAGTAATTTATTTATATATTGATAATAAAAAAATTATAAGTGATAGATTTGACATTCACAGCTAATTTTTATAAATTTTTAATTAATATTAAAAATAATTCTAAACATATTTTATTGATTTTTCAACTGATTTATCGGCAAAAAAATTAAAATTTATAATTTTTAACTGACAATATAAATAATTTTAAATATATTTTATTGATTTTTCAACTAACTACTTGTATATTTTATTATAATTAAAGATCATGGTTTACTTTTTAAATATTAATAATTTAAATTTATAAGTTGCTAACTGTCATTTTCCCCGAATTCAATTTAATTATTATTTTTGCATCCGAAGTTTGGCCCTCCTCGTTTAGAAATTGTAAGACCAGGCTTTTACATTTTCTTTTCTCGTCACATCCATCGTCCCATCTTCATGCGGATAGCATATTTTTAGATGTTCATGTGATGGTTGAAATGCTGGGAATCAAAAGGGCTTGAATAATACTTCTTCATCGTCTCTTTTTATAAATTATTTCTATTAATTTTATTAATATTAATTTAAAAATAAAAAATAAAAATATATAAAATTTTAAATATGCTTCTATAAATTAAATTTAAAAAATAATATCATATTATTATTTTTTTTGATAAAAATTAAAAATTATCTTTTTTTATAAAAAAAATTTTAAAAATATTTTTTAAATATTACTTAAAATATTATATTATAATTTATAAATGAGATTAAATAAATTTTTTAAAAATATTTTATAAATAAAATCGAAAGGACTACTACGAAAGAGTTGCTGTAGACTGTTGAGAAATGTGGTTTCCTGTGTTTTGTACTGTTGACTAGGACTGTTTAATCTAGACCTATTCTGATTGACTCGGTATCGTCCCAATTATATCGAGATGGGTCTTGTTCCGCCTCAAAAATAATCGAGACGGAACTTTACAGGACAGGACACGATATTACCATCGGGACGTCTCGTCCCGTCCTGAATATTATATATATTATTTTTTATTTTAAATATATTAATTATATTAATATAATTTATACTTATATTAATTATATCAATTATAATTTTAATACTTGTAATTTTTATTTAAAACTAAAATTTTTTTATATTGATAATTTTAATGGCATGGAGTAAACATGGCGATATCTTTATTTATAATATATTAATTATATTAATATAATTTATTCTTATATATATCTATTTAATAACTTTTATTTATAACATATTTCTTGTTTATTTTTAGAAGAATAATTAGCTTAGTACATCTTCACTAAAGTAAAAGAACAATGATTTGATATTGTATTTGACTTTCCTATTATTGCTAATCTTATAACATAAAGATCACTTGTATTTGTTATTATAATATGTAGTTGTGATTAATATAATTCAATAATTAATTTTAAATTATTGTTATTTATGTGCTCGTGTTGTTTTGATTTTAAATTTAATAAATTATATAATTTAAAATTTTAATGAACGTCATTATTCAGATCTTTTTTCGATATTATTCCATTTATCAGAACGGCGGGACATACTGATTTTGCCACGATCTCATCCTGATTCTTAACGAGACGGAATGACTTTCGAGATGGAATGAAAAACAGGATCAAAATTTAATTTCAATTTTTTTTCAAGACTGAGACACGAGATAAAAATGTACCAATATCATCCTACCCTGTGAACATCTTTACTGTTGATCATGCGCGATTGCGAGGCGGGCCCATGTTTTGTTGGGCGAGAGATGCATTCATCTGTGCGCTATTACTACGAATGCGAGGGAAAACTGGTAAATAGCTGGCCCAACTTTACTCTGCTGTCAATAAAAATTGAGACAATGGGTGAAACTGTACGTCCCCTCAGACTTTGGGAATTGAAACGCAAGTCTTTTTTTCTAGAAAAAAATAAAAACACAATAGCATCTTTTTAAAATATATGAATAATAATTTAATTTTTTAAAATATTATAATATTTTTAAAATTTTTAAAGACTTTTTATTATTAATAAATTTATATAAATTATTAAGTTATTTTTATTAAAAATAAATGATTCATAAATTTTATTTAAATATTCACAATTTTTTTATATTCATAATAATGTAATTTTTTTATCTTAAATTTTTTATTTAATGTTATATTGTTGCCAGTATAAAAAAATTGTGAATATTTAGATAAAATTATGAATAATTTATTTTTAATAAAAATAATTTAATAATTTATATAAATTTATTAACAAGAATAAAGTTCTCATAAACTTTAAAAAAATTATAGTATTTTAAGAAATTAAATTATTATTTATATGTTTTACAAAAATTTTATTATCATTTTTTTTTGTTTTTATCGATTAAGTAAGATCATTTTAAAAAGAAACACACGCAGGGACGCCCCAGAGCCCATGATATTTTGTGTCTCGTAGTCATTCATCTGCAAATGTGAAGCGTACTCTTCTAATTTTTTTTTATCAATTTCATTTCGTGAATATCAATATAAAAAAATAAAAAAAAAATAAAAATATATAAAATTCTATATATATCATTATAAAATAAATTTAAAAATTAATTTTATGTTATTTTTTATAAATAATAATTTTAAAAATATTTTTTAAATATAAATAAAATTAAATTGATATTTTAAGATGTGCTTGGTAAATGAAATTGAAGGAGTATTGTCTGTGTGAAACTTTTATTAGGAATGCTTTTGAAAGAAGGAGCCTACCCATCCCACGTGAAGTGCACATGATGTGTTGGTTAACACTTGTGGCAACCAGGCATGCGCCGCACAGTACATCCTATCTCGTAGCCTTAATCAGGCTAGCATTCCATGAAAGCAACACCCACTGAAAGCCCACCGCCGCTCACAAGCCCGGACGTAAATATTATAAATTTCTCTTCCCACTCATAGTACTAGAAAAAACTGAAATATAAATAAAAATTGAGTTTAGGGCAGGTGACCTCCTAAATCCTAATATCAGTAATATCATGAATTAAAATTTAAATCTTTATTAAAAATTATTTTTTACATTTAACACCTGATTGTGTTATGAATAAAATTATTTTCAATAAAAAATATGTGAATAAACAAAAAAAAAGTTATGAAGGGCCTTATTAAGAGGAATTCACTTGAAGGACCTTGACATTTTCATCTAAATAATTTTACCACGTGTTCCCTCTTCCTAATTTTACCAAGAAGGAATTCCATTTTATACATGGGCAATTGAGGATAGTATTTGGGGGAGAAGAAAGAACCAAATCCAAAACGATGTGGGATAATAAGACAGGTCAAACCGACCATTAAGCGGGAGGCACAAAGCCACGCACTCTCTTGCAAAATTGGCGGGCCGTTGAATCAGGCGGGGTATGGCATGCGGACAAGCACCCCGAAATGGGATCACTTGACTGTAAACGAAAAGGGGGAGCAAGAAAGAAAGAAAGAGGACCACTGATTAACATAGTACCGCCTCCATTGTTGACAATTTACAGTGGTTTTTTCTTTCTCGATTATTGTAAGTTTTTAACAGCCCGCTCGTCCTCATTCTTGTGGGACATGCAACAGCTACATTAATTGACCCTAGCCTCCAGGACCAGGGTAACATGCCCTACCACTCCCTTTCATGTCTGACCCCCTCAATAATTCTAATAGTGCCCCTCCGACTACCCCACTCTTCAACGTATGCTCCTTTCTTTCTTTCTTCCTTTCTTAATAAAGAAGAAACAAAGAGTAAAAGTAAAACAAAACAAAATAAACAGCAAATTCACGGGGGCCTCATCCCTCAATTCCGTTGAGGTATAATAAAGAAACGAAGAGTAAAAGTTAAACCATGCACACTGTTTCTGTTGAGGTATTCTCGTGGATGTTTTTTTTTTTTTTTCCTTCTTGTTTTTTAAGGGCATGTGATGAAGATCAAGTATACGAAGAGGAAATGAGCTGGATGATGACGCTGTAATATATTCTGCAACCGCGGGATGAATGGAATAACAACCGAGTACAGATTAAGATAAGAGTAAGGAAAGGGGAATAGCGAAATGGTTGAAAGAAAGGAGAATCATGGTCAAGTCCTGGAACGGCGATTTTAATTATAGTTATATTCTTGATAACTTTTTAAAAATAAAATATAAATATTAATTTAAATTCCTACGTTTAAAAATTTTAATCGTAAAATTTATAATATAGATTCCTGTCTACAATTGTTTGAATTAATATCTATAATTAATTTTTTTAAAAAATTATTAAACAATCTAACATTAATACGATTGTTTCATAATTTTCCTGGAAGGAAAAAAGATTATACGGATAAAATGAGAGAAGGGCATTTGACGGGGAAAGTAAGCAAGTAACATATGCACCCCCCCTTGCGGTTGGTACAACTAACTGTACAAGCCACAACAGCACAGAGCTTTTATTATCGACACGGGAGTTGGATCCACACGTGCGACAGTCCACTGTCTTTGTCCGCTTCAACCCTCTCCACGTGACTCTAGGCCCCACCTCCTTCGCGATGTGGTGCTCGTGGAACGAGGTTGGATCGGGATGTTCCTGTCCCGTGTCCCTTCCTAACATGAGCTAGAACTGAATTTTAATTCAATACTTTATTGTGTCTCAAAAATTACCCTGTCTTATTAAATATCTGTACGAGACAGAATA